TGTAACTCGCTATGGTTGCGATATTGTTTTATACACGACGATAAAATTGCATTATCGTCTCCCGAAATTAATTCACTGGCGATTTCATCGCTCGTGAATTAATCTTTTTGGTCGACGATAACATACCATTTTATCGTCTTGTATAAAAAATAACTATTATTCTTCATTTTTAGAAAATGTTAAGTATCTCAAAAATCCTACATTTTAGACATAATCTTCTATAATGAAACTTACCATTTTTTTCCTAGAATCTGAAAATGAATTAATATATTCCGTATGATCGAAAAAAAAAACTGCGTCATCGATGACTATGAAAGGAAGATCGCTGGCATTTTATATGTAAATTTATATTGGAAATGTCAACGATCGTCATTTCCCAGCCAACTGGACGCCGTTTTTTTTCGATCATACGGTATCCTAATACATACTGGCCGTTCTCCTTGGAGCCTCCGTGTCGTATGAGAGGCGCCACCCTGTATATATGTATATTCAATAAACAATATATAACATTAACAATAAAAGAAAATTAAAAAATTAATATCAGAATTCTTTTTAGAAAATAACAAATTCTTTTATTGAGGTAACTATATATCCTAGGCAAAGATTTTTCAAAAATGTATGAAACTGCCAGAAAAAGATAAATATATAACGTAGAATCAATTGAATGGAGCCGAAAAGAAAACGAGTAGGGCAGAGCGGGGTAAAATTTCGAAATAGGACCCATCACCTTCCTAATCAAAACCAGACGTGGTTCGTATTTTGATAAAGCAGTCACCTAATGTCCGTTAGCCAACCAGAAATTCGCTAGGGACTCATTAATATTGCTGTCGGATATTCCGATAGCGAGCCACGATTAATGAACAAACTTAAAAACAAAAATTGCAAAAATTAATTCGATCTTCCGATGTGGCTTGATACGGGTCCTATTATTTACCGTCCAATTCGAATATGCAGAAATATTTTTTTAAATAAATACATGTATAAAGAATTATTAAAATATATCCACATTTACTACACTTATTTTAAGTAATTAATATAAAAAGTTATTTTTATTTTTTTAAATTTTTTTAATCAAATATAGAGCATATAATAATCACTGTACGGTAAGGTACCTTTTAGCTTGTAACGGAAATAATTTTATGTATTAAAAAGTTAGGTGTCTAGCCGCTACCCGTAAATGACTTTCCAGTCCACAAAAAGTTGACTTGAAAAACTAGAAGTTATCGATGTGATATTGTTTGATTTCATTAGTGTATCAATGTAACAACAATAGTCCAAAATTTATGAATTATCACTTGTCAAACTGAATAAAATAGGCTTACTTATTGATTTACTGATGTTATTTTAAAAGATATATTACCCATGCAAGAATAAAATGAGAGGATGACCTACTAAAAGAGAGATCCCATCAAGAATATAGAATCTCAAAAAATGCCAAGTCTCGCAACACAATTCTTCTACAACAACATTTTGAGATATTTCATGTAAAACCATGTCAATTTTTTATTTAGTTTCTGCTCAACAAATTTGTCATAAATTGTTAGTGTACCTACTACCTTACTGTTTAGATTTACTTAGTAGTAAATCTAAACAGTGCAGTTAAGAATAAAGTATAACAACTGGTAGAATATCACACATTGCAATTGCTAAGTCATTATAATTATTGCAGAAATAAAGATGTCTACTATTGATACTAACAATTCATAACATTATTGAATAAGTGCTTTTTAATTGGTTTTACATGAAATCTCCCACTTTCTGTAGTGGAAGAATTGCGTTGCGTGACTTCATGTGTCTTTTATGGGATCAAATTTTAGGACAAAGAGAAATATAAAAATATTATTATTTAAGTGTGACAATGTGAACTTGTAATAATGGTTAATGATATTTATACATAACTCAAAATTATAAAAGAGATGTTATATCTAGCAAAGGTTAAGAAATTATTAGGGATGAGGTTTTAAAAGCTTGAAAGTCTAATTTAATCAGAGGTGTTTGTGCCCATTTCCTTGTTGATTATCCATTCCCTGACTGGTGATTGTCAATATTAGAGCTGAAATACGATGGTACGGTCGTGTCAATAAACAGGGCATATCTCCAATGTTTGCGAAAGATTATTTAACGCGGTAGCTCCAGGTATTTCCGTAAATGAGAAAAGAACGTTAATGACACGATAGTTAACTTCCGGTAATCGGACACTAAGCAAATAATTTCCCTTAATCGAAATTGTTGATTAACACCCTACATGTTTATTTCATTTTATCTATGTTTGTACACGCCAAGTCAACGTCAAGCAATATATAAAAGTATAATAAAATACATTTTTTCCTCTTAACTTGAAATCACCAAATTTAACACCCCCAATTTTTCAATACTTATTTGAAGTATTTTAATAAAATTAAAAATAAATTTAAAAATCAATTAATTAATTTGAAATGATCGATCAGTGTGTACTACCAGTCATGACCTATATATGCGAAATCTGGACACTTAAAACCAACATCATAAAGAAACTGCAGGCACAAATTACCTATAACAGATGCGAAAGAAGGCGACTGCATCGGAAACCGTTCGGCAAACCCGACACGCCTATTGAGTGGTGTAAATACACCAGTCGTTTAGTCCGGAAACCCATGCTGTGTCGTATTCACTTGCTGGAGTGACATAGTGCGTGGTTATATGTTTCTTTTTAAAAACGCGTGTAGGAACTTTTGAACTGTTATTTCTAAGTTTTAGTAATTTGTATGTCTTATTTAAAATGGGATACAAATGTGTTTATTTATAAGGAAAAATAAGATATTTATAGTATAAAAAATTAATTTATTTAACAAAATTTAATTAACAATGTGACAAAATAGTTACCTTTCTATTGGTTCTATCGGACTTTTTTCGACTATATAAATCTTTATTTGTAAACTTTAATACATCAAATATTTTCAATCTAATAAATCATTTAATGATGTAAATAAGAGGAAATTTCTCACATGGGTGGTCAAATTCTATAGTTTTCATTATATCAAATACCTCTGAGAAATGTTTTCAACTCAAAATGCCTTTAATTATGTTTGACTACATCATTAAAAAGGGTCTTCAAATACATCAATGTGATATTTGTCTAAAATTTGCAAAAGAATCCGAATCTCTGGATAACTCGAAATTATTTACCCATTTAATAGCCTTTGATCATGAAAGTGGAAAAATTTGTTCATTTTATTTACAGGCTGGAAAAATTATTTATATTAAATTTTGATGAGTTTTGCACTGAAGAAAACATTCAGAGGCTGTTTGATATAATGGAAACTATAGAATTTGACCAACCATGTGAGAAATTTCCTCTTATTTACATCATTAAATTATTTATTAGATTGAAAATATTTTATGCATTAAAGTTTACAAATAAAGATTTATATAGTCGAAAAAAGTCCGATAGAGGCAATAGAAAAGTAACAATTTTGTCAAAACTTTAATTAAATTTTGTTAAATAAATTAATTTTTTATACTATAAATATCTTTTTTTTCCTAATCTCCTACGAACTGATATAATATGACGAGTAATCTATTAAATTACTGTGAGATTATATGCCTCGATAACATATTGGTGCAGATTATTTTCACCCAAACAAATAATAACCCAAACTAGTATACATTGATGCGGATTGTCTATGAACTCTTTCTGAAGGTCACAGAAACCTGAACGCGGAATTCGGTGTTTTCGACTTGTGTCTAGCCCTAGCAGGCAACTGTTAAGCCCGACCAATCACGTTAGAGTTTTGACAAACACAGATTAATTAACACACTCCAAATAACCACGCTAACCAACCTGATTGGTCAAGCTTCGAATAGTTGACTGCTAGAACTAGACACTTCTGTTCTTTTCGCATCTGTTATAGTTAATTTGTGCTGCAGGTCTCATAATGTTCTATAGAATGAAATATGCTGGTAATATCCAAGAAAGATCGTAAAATAATTGAGTGGGAACGAAAAAATATCCGGTAATATTACCAGACATCCAATCAAATCCTTCAAGTTGCAATTGACAGGACACCTGGCAAAAAGGAAGGACAATAGATGGACCACAAAAATTACAGCATGGTACCCACGAGGAATTAAAAGACCAAACCTGAGATGGGACCCCATGGTATTAGGAAATTAGAAAGGATAACTAAACAATAGACTAAAATTGGTCGAACAAAGAGATTATCTAAATATGTGAGGGAGGCTACACCAAATTTAGAAATAGTTGAACACAGAGATACATATATATATATATATATATATATATATATATATATATATATATATATATATATATATATATATATATATATATATATATATATATATATATATATATATATATATATATATATATAGAGGATTGCATTAAAATGCATAATATCCACAACAGTAAATATTTTTTAAACTATAATAAATCATGGTAAAGTTACACCTCATTTCGCAAGTCAAAGAATGTTTCCAAAGTCTAATAAAACCCGGAATAAAACTACTAAAAATTAGAATTTCATAAACTTTCATACAGAGTTTAATATTTCACGCCACAATAAATTTACTACAGCGAGAGTCGTTAACTCCCTGTACATTCTCATATAACTAAAATGGCTCCAACTAATTTGCTTGGTTGGCGGGATTATACAAGATTAAACAAAGGTGTTCTAAAAACCCCAGATTTGTCACGGGAATTCAAGATATGGCTCTATGGAAGAGAAAATTAAATCTATTATTCAAAGCAATAAAAATATGCACTTTTATGAACTTGGAAAAGAATGAAAGTGAATTTTTATCTGCGCTTATTCATTTCAGGTTATATTTTTTTATTGCTACAGGTAGAATCAAGAATAGAGATTAAATAGAATTTTACTTAAGGGCACCCGAGACTTTTTATAAATAATAATTATAGAAGTAGGTATTCTTGCCAATATCAAGAAACATTATAGTTTTTAATTTTACCTTATTAGCTCATAGTCCTAGAATAATAAATTTCCATTTTTCCTTTTATTTCTTCTTGAAATATTGATCTATTGAAATATCTTATCACATTGTCTCTATTTTCAACTCATTCTGTGCCTTTTCTGAAAAAATAAGACAGTTATAAGTAAGTAAAAATACATACTAAATTCTAAGCAAACAGAATAACTGACATTAATCAGTTGTTAAGTCAATTATTAATTGAGACATAGTTAATTTATACATTCTAGTCTTTAATTTTACCTTATTAGCTCATAGTCCTAGAATAATAAATTTCCATAATTTTTTCTATTCTTCCTTTTATTTCTTCTTTAAGTATTAATCTATTGAAATATCTGTTCACTTTGTTTCTATTTTCAACTCTGTGTCTTTTCTGAAAAAAAAGACTTATTAAAACGTTAAAAAACGTTAGACGTTATTTAAATTATTAATTGAGACATAATTAATTTAGGATAAAAATGATACCCATTAGAAGTTAAAAAAAATAATTTAGTCAGATGATATTTAATAAAATAAGATTTTAAAGTTTTATTCAACCTCTAGTTATAGATATATATATATATATATATATATTGCTTTTTTTTCAAAATAATTTTCCGAATAATATAGTTCCGGCAAAGTTATAATTTTATCATAATTCTCCCAAATTCCGCGACGGTATGAATAACTTGGTAAAGTTTCAAATTTAAGCTATGCTCGTGAAGCAATTAATTTTAAACTTTTTAGTCTTGAAGCTAGATTCTCAAAATATGCTAACATTATCTTCGGTAACATACATTTTGCCGCCCAATCATATCCTAAGAACGATATATAATGGTAACAATGCAGCTTGAAAAGTTTTTTATTCAATATTCTTATAAAGTGCGAAATAATTTTTATACAATGCTGATAATAATGACCGAACTTTTTAAATTTTTCTAACTTTCTACTTTAAACTTAGCACTCGGTTTGTGCCACTTAGTTTGGAAAATTTCATCCTAAGTTGGGCATTATCAGTAGAGTATACGAAAGTTTTAAATTCGTTCATCTTTCACAAGGGATTTTTAGATTAACATATAAAGATACCTACACTAACGAAAATAAGAAAGAAACTACAATACTACAAACCGTCATTAACATATTTTTTTCCTTAAGTTAATTATCATTTGCATTAAATTATATTAATAATAGATAATAATATATTAATTTAAAAAATTATGATTAAAAAATAAGGCAATCAAAAGTTAGTATGTATAAATCTTCAATATCCGTTAAAGTTAATTAAACATGCTTGATGAAAATATGGTGCCATACACAAAACGGCCGTATATTTTTCTCCGTCTTCCCTGAAGGAATGAACAAAAGCACATGTAATTTAAATTGCACCGTAAGCAATTTATCACTTCCAAAAAAGTCTACGCAAAAAAGTGAAGTTGCACAACTATGAATTAAAGTTGTTTTATCTGCGGTCTGTTGGGAAACTGCAACTGTATCATTTGCTCGCCAGTCCAACTTAACGCCAGTAATTCTATGTCCACGTTTCCTACTGCAAATTCGCAGTAGTTACATCTTACAAATTATCTCGCTATACAGGGCGTTTCAAAATGGGCCTACATGTAATAAATTCGTATCCGATGTATTATTTCTGACTTGCATACTAAAAATATACCCGCATCTAAACACCTAACAGTTTTCAGTTTATTAAAAGTCTTTTATAAAATTAATCTTAAAATAACTGCATCATAAATTTAATTGACAAGGATATAGTTGAATTGTATCTTGTTTAAAAATTAATTTATTTTATTAGTAATTCGCATCCAAAAAGTAAATAATTCACGGTCAGTGTGGTTGGCAATTATTGCCTTTTCTTAGAGTGAAAGTAAAGCGCACTGATTTGGTTTGGTTAGCCTTTAATCTTCATCTTTTCAGCCATCGAAATCAATAGTTTGTAGCTGTTTCAAAAAATATTCTTGTGCAAGGTGCAACAAATGATACTGATGTCATTGATTAGTTTCATACAACTAAGAAAATTGACCCTTAGTTTTTTCTTATTAAATCTGTCAAACAAATCTAGAGTTTTTGTTTTTCTAACACATTCAGAAGTGGGATATACTTAGTTGCTCACGGGATATTTTTTTAAAGAAAAAATTAGGAGAAAACTAAAGTTGCATCATGTTGCGAGAAGTGAAGAGTTTGAAGAAGTTCCTCAAATTATCAGATCTTCGAGTTCCGCAAATAAGCAATGAAATGAGCCTATATTGTTGCTTAAAATACATAAAAATATCTTCTCTGGAACTTGAGCATCAAAATTTGGCTTTTTTGTCCAAAGTGTAATTAATATTTTGTCTACTATAGCCTGTTGCTCCTTTATCTAAAATACAACGTTTTCACTCAAACTAGAGAAAAGTAAGTGAACGATAAAAGTTAATTTGAATAGATATCAACTGAATTCCAGTCTCCGTTTGAGCATATTACTTATTTAGTGGTGGAATATAACCGTGGGCCATATAACCTGAAGGCGTCTTTAAATTTTAAAAGGTTAATTAGATATTTTCAAGTGAGCGCTTCTCTCTTACGTGCTATCGTAAATTCTTAAAGCACGAAAGAGTTTTTCCTATTACTGTTCCTACCTAGGAAAATATATGTTCTACTAACCTCTACATGCTTCGCTATTAGAATGTACGTGCGGCTTGCTACTTACTACAACTTCTCCTAATGCAAATTATTTAAAGATTGATTCGTTTAAAAAATGGCTTATTCTTTTGTGAGCAAACTTTAAAATTCAAGCTCGGTAAAACTTTACGAGAACCATTCGAAACAATCCGAGCGGATTACTTTTCAAACTAACTGTTAAAGAGGCGGTTTAACAAGGATACAAATTTATCAGGCGGCTGCACAGTGGTGAAGACTTTGTAGCCCAAGTAAGTTAAATTAAGAACCAATTACACTGGACAACAAATTTTAGTTTATTAGTAGTATCTTTTATAAAAAATACATTTCTTAGCTAATTTTGGGGTGCTGATTACGAAAATATCAATGAAATTAACTCTTAAACCTCCATGATATTAATATCTACGTAAATACCCAACACGGGTTCTCTAAGGACCCCAGACGAAAAACAACTTTTCTGTAATTATAAAATAATAATTAAAACAGCAAAAAAAATGCTAATTAGGAACTCAGTAGAACAAACTCAAAATCTGGGAGTATAATCTTTTTCTATTCTTACTACCTTTCTCCAATTTTAATATGTTTTGATGAGAACGTTCGTCAAAAAAGTCCAGGTGTGAGTGCAGAAAATGAATTTACAGAAACATATTACAAATTGATGATCATGACAGCATAGTTTTAACCAGACTAACCCAATCATCAGCTTTTTTATTTCGCAAAGAATTAATGACCACCAGACGTAAATTAATCCAAGCTTTTATTTCAATGTCTGTGAAAGTGCTATCAAAATGTTCCTTTCAGGATATTTCGTATTTTTGACCCAAGAAAATACCTTGATTAATTTTTATTTCCGTTAGCATTATTTAAGAAAAGCATTTCGTTAAGAAAGTTTTTCATTAGGCCCAATTTGATTTGCAATTATGCAAAAATTATTGAGTCGATAGCGTCAAACTCGTTTAATGCTTTAGATAAGGGTATTTTATTTACTATAGCAGAGAGTTATATTAGAATTAATTTCTAAAACTTGAACAAATATATTTTCATATATAGCATACCTAAAATAATAAAATTTTGTTGATTTTATTTAAGATACATTTTGGCTATTGCCCAATGTTATCATTATTTAAAACACCAATCAATTAAGACAGCACTAATAAAGGTTCTAAATGTTAGAAGTGATGTTGACATTTTTGTTTGCGACAGCTATTTCTTTTTCTTTTTGGTGTCCTTTTCTTAAATAACTTATTAGATGGCTCTCATGTGAGGTAGGTGTATTGAACCCCATGGTCAAGACACGCAAATATTATACCTTTGAGAAAAGCATCTCATCCCCTTGCGTAAAGGGATCGAAGTTGTTGGAAAGTAAAATATCCAGAGAAACACTTTTTGGCTCCTATAGATTCCAATACTAATATTGTGCCATTCATTGAATTATTGAGTCAAATAAAATTAAATCATTTAATAAAAAAATTAATAATTATATTGATACTGTCGGAAATTTTCAAGAGATAAAATTCAAAAGAGCATTTATTTCGGAGTTAATGTATATTATCTAAAATCTAAATTCCCCTTTTTGGAAAATTATGTTATAAAAATATCAGGGCGACTGGAAAATCAAAGGCGCCACGTATTCAAATTTATTCGAAAATATCTTTGATAAATTGGCAGACTTTAAAGGTATTCATTTTATTTTTATTATTCTTGTTTCTATTCGGAGCAAAAGAGAGCTGTTGACACCTAATAAGCTTTTTGTGGAAATCTGGAAATACAGAAAATATATTTTCATCTTACAGAATTAAAATTCGCTAGACTTTGGAAATGGGTGTGTTTGAATTTAGAAAATAGAATGACATAATGGTTTTGAGAAATGTTAAAGACAAAACTAAAAAATATATAATAAAGAAGTCTTTGGGTGATTTTTTAGCTGAAACTACTTAAAATAAAAAAAATAAACTAAGAATCTAATGTATGGAAGACTCCCCAAACATAAAATCATAAAAGCATATTTTTATTCTTACTTTAGAATAATTTAAATCAGTTACATGAAAACATGTACATGGACTTTCTATTTGGAAGGCCTTCAAAATTTCAAAGACTAAATAAAAAATATTTTTTACATAACTGATTTCAGCTAAAGGAAAGTTGAGGAACGTTTTAATCCGGGAACAGCATTATAACAAGATTTTTTTTCCCCAATATAAGACCCTTCTTTCCTTATGGCCGCAAATCCAACGGTTGATTATTTGTTTCTTATTGATTCTCTTTTTTGGTCCGATTTGTTGTGAGATTAAAGGCAACCCCCTGTATACATCAATCAAAAAGGGACCTTTCTGGTTGAGTTGACATCGGATATCCGAAAATAGCCCGAAGCCATGTCTATCGACAGCTCAGTATGGATACATCAAAGAAAACCTCGTTTGTACAAAAAAAATCTCTAGATAACGTGTTATATAAGTCTCAAATATATTTGACTTCTGATAAATAAAACGTATATTTATATACGGTATTTACATAAGCGGCTAAATCTTAAATCGCATGTAATTTTGTTTTAGGCGCTAAGCTTTAACCGCTGATAAATTGACAACATTTACATCTAACAATCGATTTGCAAAGTTAATCGTCTTCCACACCGAAATTTCTAATTGGCCAACTGGAATTCAGATCGATTTATTTGGAGTGGATTAACATATATATTGTCATTCGGTTCCTACAAAAGCAGCTAAC